CTGGCCATAAGGTTTCCCATTCCTACAAACAAAGTGCTCACGTTATCAATTAAAATGAGAATCTTCAAGAAACTTTCTTTAAATACTTTAGACTTTATTACAGAATCAATTGTAATATCTGTGTGCACGCTTCCGAGTGTGAAATGTGAATGTTATTCTGTATCTACAATTGTTTCGTAAATATACATAAGCATCCCCAGTTGTCTAGCTATACATAAAGAGGGACTATATTGTTGTACTTTTGGAAAAGGAATAAAAGTCCACAAATATTGAAACATGTAGATTATTTAATGGTGTGGACAGTAATTGGTGGATACCTGTGTGACTGCATCAGATTTATTGGTGTTTTCATTGATGGACAGATAGTTATACTGGAGATACCTGTGTGGCAACTATCTAATCTGACTGAGATCGTACAATACAACACACAGTGATCATGAATATGGTTATTACAGCCTCACGAAGCTTCATTACAGAATGAATATAACAGGAGTAGATGCTTAAATCAGTGCAATAATTGCAATGTGTCAGAGACAGAATCCCGTAAAAGAACATTTACTTCACCATTCAGTGTGGAGAATGTATAGCCTTCTCTTGAAATTCATATTTAGTTTATCCATAATTTAGTTTTCTTGAACCAGTTGCTGACATGCATGGGAGAGTTCAGAAGGATTTATATTCCAGCATATGCAGAGATTTTGCAGATCATAAAACACAGACCAACATGTATTTTTTTCTTTTAAAATGGTGTGAAGAATTGTGCATGGAGCGCAGCCACAATTACTGAAATATGATAAGTTACATTCTCAAATATCTGCACATATTGAGCAAATGTTGGGTACACGTTCATAAAATGAAAATATGTGCTCTAAAGGAAAAGATCCTCACCACAACATTACAGTAGCATTCATTAAATAGAAATCTGCTAATGCTGGAAAGAAATTCAATCTCGCAGCCTTGCAGTGAATTTACAAGAGTTTCCCTGCAGTAAATCCCCGATCCCTCTGAAGCTCCACGTGTGCGGCACAGGAGGCCAGATCCGAACCCGCAGACCCTCGGCTCATCACCCCGTCCCAGGGCGTCAGGGTTTGGCACTCGCTTTCGGGACGCTGAGATGAACTCTGGGACGTTGATGTGTCCAACAGAGAGGCATGGAATAGGCCTAGTAGTACATAATATAACTTTTTGTGAACTCATATTTTTTGAGAGGCTACTGGGATATCATTCTAAAATGACCCCGGGACCATTTAAATGAATTAATTAAAATGGTGCAAAATTTTCATTTGCGGCCACTTAGAGGAACTAATTGATAACCTATATGATTTAAAATCTTGTTATTTGCTGTGTAATGATTTGTCAAAACATCAAGTGTTGTAAACTTGTTATAAAGCACCACATGACATGATATGGCTGTCTGTGTGTGTGTGTGTGTGTGTGTGTGTGTGTGTGTGTGTGTGTGTGTGTGTGTGTGTGTGTGTGTGTGTGTGTGTGTGTGTGTGTATGTGGAGGAAAGTCTCTCTGTGTGTGTGTGTGTGTGTGTGTGTGTGTGTGTGTGTGTGTATGTGTGTGTGTGTGTGTGTGTGTGTGTGTGTGTGTGTGTGTGTGTGTGTGTGTGTGTGTGTGTGTGTGTGTGTGTGTGTGTGTGTGTGTGTGGAGGAAAGTCTCTGTGTGTGTGTGTGTGTGGAGGAAAGTCTCTGTGTGTGTGTGTGTGTGTGGAGGAAAGTCTCTGTGTGTCTGTGTGTGTGTATGGAGGAAAGTCTCTGTGTGTGTGTGTATGGAGGAAAGTCTCTGTGTGTGTGTGTGTGTGTGTGTGTGTGTGTGTGTGTGTGTGTGTGTGTGTGTGTGTGTGTGTGTGTGTGTGTGTGTGTGTGTGTGTGTGTGTGTGTGTGTGTGTGTGTGTGTGTGTGTGTGTGTGTGTATGGAGGAAAGTCTGTGTGTGTGTGTGTGTGTGTGTGTGTGTGTGTGTGTGTGTGTATGGAGGAAAGTCTCTGTGTGTGTGTGTGTGTGGAGGAAAGTCTCTGTGTGTGTGTGTGTGTGTGTGTGTGTGTGTGTGTGTGTGTGTGTGTGTGTGTGTGTGTGTGTGTGTGTGTGTGTGTGTGTGTGTGTGTGTGTGTGTGTGTGTGTGTGTGTGTGTGTGTGTGTGTGTGTGTGTGTGTGGAGGAAAGTCTCAGACTTGAATGACTTCAAGGTCAGCAAGACTGAAATATTCTCTTCCTAAATATAAAGATGTTGCACTGCATATACTCTAAAAACTGCAGGGTTGTTTCAACCCAGATGTGGGTCAAATATGGACAAACCCAGCCATTAAATTAAAATGTTTAACCCAAAGTTCCATATTTGACCCAAATTTGGGTTAAAACAACCCTGCAGTTTCTAGAGTGTAACACTCCAGTTCTAAGCAAAGACTGCTGTGTGCCAATGGGATAACCCTGTCACCGGGGAACTGCTGAACTCCGGAAGAATGCGAAGGATTTGCCTGTTCATTCCTCCCAGATTTAGGAACCGGTATTATGTGATACTGCATCGAGAATTCATGCTTTTGCTGACTGACCTGTGCATCTCTTAGACCTCAGTGACACTTCTTTGCTCGATTTGTGCAGATATTTGAGCATTGATTGATCAACAATGCTCAAATATCTGCACAAATCGAGCAAATGTTGGGTTCACGTTCATAAAAGTGACTGGACTAAACTCTATCTTGAAGTTAAATAACTTGAGTTTAAATGAACTTGATCACTGAAGGAAGAAAGATACCACTATAACACTGACTCCTTTTCACTAACACCTTAAAAAGGAATTGAATTAGAGATGATTATTTAAAAATGTATTAACTCATGCAAAAACATAGAAATCAGCAGATCAAGTCGGAGGAGCAGCGATGAACACAGTCATTTATGTTCATATATAGCTATTTATATACGCACAACATAGAGCTTTTCGACATGTTTTGGAAAGATTGCAATTTCTAGAGTAAATCAATCAATATTAATAAATAAATAAATATACATTTTGATAGGATCACATTCACAACTATAGCGTCACACAGAATGCGCGTACATGTAGCGGAAATAGTATTTCTAAATCCCAGTCATGCTGATTACTTTAAATAAGGAGTTTATGGGAAATCAGTGTTATTTTCATTAAGCAATCCGACATCAGCACTATTGTACACTACACACAATATAGTAAAAATGGACACGGACGCATAGTATCTAACTAAATATCTATGCTTTCATTTAATTATCTTTGCCTATAGCTAAAAAAAACAGACTTATTATTGAGTCGTTGTTTCTTAGACCCAAAGCAAAACAGACAGATGTGCCTCCTGAGATGACAGTGACAGTATTTGTCCACTTGATGAAGGCTGATAAACCTCACTGGTCCACTGATCATCGAGTCTCTTTGCAGGCGCTGTTTGACTGACCACGAGCCTCTGTTGTTTACGTGTGAATTAATCCCGTGTTTGTGTCGGGCGCCGGACAGGACAGATGCGCTATCAACATGTCTGAGGCATCTACACACACACAATTGAGCAACACACTGATAATCAGTGAAAACAACAGCTCTGTTCTCATTACACACTGATTTTTTTTTATCTAATCAACCCCCCCCCCCCCCCACACACACAAAAAAAAAAGATATAGCTATTTATATTTTAATAAATTCAAGGGTGTTTGTCAGTGATTTAAAAATCACACTCTTTCGATATTCGATATGTTCTTTGTGTCTTGAACAATATAGTGAAACTCACATCAGGGGAATATTTATATAGTCGCGTTCAAGCGTCACGAGCAAAGTCTTGCAGTCTTGAAATTGAGAGAGAGAAGTGTGTGTGTGTGTGTGTGTAAGCTGAATAAAAATGGTTGCTGAATATAAAGTGATAAGGCGATAGATATGCTATTATAAAAATAAACTTTAGCACATTAAATTAAATCTCGCTGACGGTGTGATCGAATGCGTATTTGGTGTCTGATGAATATGTTTGAATCCTTTTCTGTCTATCTAATAATTTCTTGTACACCCTGTTTAGTTTGACTTCGTTCTGGTATCCAATTTTATCCAACAGTCAGTAGCTCTGAAAGTGTTCAAATAATAATCATAAAAAAATGAAAGCGTCATTTATCCGTTCGGACACGATTCGTGGCACAGCGCTTTGCTGAAACAAATGTGATTTCCCGCATAACATTAAACGCTGATGAACTGCAATATCTCCCGATTAATAATATGCTTAGTAATGATTTTGTCTTTTCCCAGGTATAATAACGCCCGCGCGGAGCGAGACATGATGTGGTGTGCGCGAAACGAGGCCAACAGTGACGCTGTGCGCACGAGTCCTGAAGTTCATGTTGTTCTCCGGGTCCCACAGCCCGACAGATGCGAGTCCTAATGATGTTGACATCTTCACACAACAGCGCTGTTTCGCGGCAGCAATAGAGTTCTCAAACACCTTTTTATAAGTCTGAAGTCTTTCGCCTCCACCCGACCTGTTAAAACCACGCCTACGGAGCGACACAATTGGTCCGAAAGCGTGAAAGAGCCAATCAACAGAGAGCTGGAGCTCGAAACACGCAACACATCCACACACACCGAAGCCCATGGAGTTCAGACGCACTGGGAACATCTCCGTGCTGGACCCCGTTCTCCGCCGATCGTGTGTGAGATGTGTGTGTGTGCGCGCGAGAGGACGAGTGTGTGCGCGCGTGTGAAGGTGTATCCCTCCAACAAGTAAAGACAGAGGAATTATTCCGAGGCAACGAAATATTTCAACACATCTCTTTGGCAGGACTCGGGACGATCTCATTATTATTATCACAGGAATGTCTGTTTTAAAGAAAGCTGAAGGAACCCGACACACACCGCGTCTTTAAATCATTTCATCTTTTATTTTTTTTCTTCTCGATTTCACAGACAAGCGGCAGATTAATGGATAGCTGTTTCTCACTTTCTCTTTTACACACTTTTTTTGTTTTAGAAATCCAGCTAGTGAGACAATTGAGTGAAGCACTTCTCCAGCGCTGACTCTTTTCCAGCTGATTTCTGATTTCTCGTTTTTAAGGAACACCGCGTCACCTCTGCAATCTGGACTTGGATGAGCTTTCCGATGAGAGATCCAGTTTTTCAAGGATCCAGTATGGCATATCACCCATTTTTACCTCACCGGAGTCCGGAGTTTGCCATGAGCGCGATGCTGGGTCACCAGCCGCCCTTCTTCCCGGCCCTGGCACTGCCACCCTCGGGCTCGCTGGCGCTGGGCAAGCCGATCATGGAGCAGCTGATGACCGCAGAGACCGGCCTCCACTTCTCCTCTCTGGGACACCAGGCCTCGCATCTCCGGCCTCTGAAGACACTCGAGCCCGAGGAGGAGGTGGACGACGACCCGAAAGTGCACCTGGAAGCCAAGGAACTCTGGGATCTGTTTCACAAGCGCGGCACAGAAATGGTCATCACGAAATCTGGAAGGTAAACTTGGAATAATTCAATAAACGAGCCGTGCTTTCAATTCAATCAAGTCAAATAGCCTAGCTAGAAACCGAGATTATAGCCCATATCAGATATAATTGTTTTATTGATTTGAGTGACTCATGCGTTTCTTTAGAAAAGCAATTATGGGACACGGGATGGGCTTTTTATCGTTTCTTTTATTTCTGTTTGGGGAGACGCAAACGTTTCTAAAACACAACCCAACTATAGGCCTAAAATGCTGGGTTGTTTCATCCCATGTTTGGATCAAATATGGACCATTGGTTTACGTTCTTTACTTTAATTTAATTTTTAACCCAACGGTTGGGTTTGTCCATATTTGACCCAAACATGGGTTAAAACAACCCAGCATTAGCCATTATTTTTTTAGAGTGTAATCAAAAATGCATCGCTGGTTTAATAATTTTACTCTAAAAAAAAATGCTGGGTTGTTACAACCCAGATTTGTGTCAAATATGGACAAACCAAACCATTGGTTTACATTTTTTTAATTACATTTTTAACCCAGCGGTTTTGTTTGTCAAAATTTGACCCAAACATGTTTTTTTTTAGAATCAGACATTCATCGCTGGTTTAATCGTTTTAGCTTACACTCTAAAAATAAAAAGCTGGGTTGTTTCAACCCAAATTTTGGTCAAATATGGACAAACCCAGGCGTTGGGATACATTTTTAAATTACATTTTTAACTACATGTTTGGGTTTGTCCATATTTGACCCAAATTGGGTTAAAACAATCCAGCATTTTTCATAGTCTTGTGCATATGCGAATTTTGCTCCATAAAAGCTGATTTTGAACAGTGAAATTCACACCTTGTATTATAAAAATATAGCCGATGCGGTGGTGTCGAAATAGCACGTTTTGGTTGTATCTTAGTTTTTCCGTTTAAATGTTGGATTGTTTTTCAAGTTAGTATAATGGCCTAATTTACACACACACACACACACACACACACACACACACACACACACACACACACACACACAACAAAAACGTCTCAGATATCTGAAATTATTGTTTCTCTAAAGCAAAATCCAGTCAAGGAATTGTGCCGATTTTAGCCTCATGCACAACAAGCTTATCTGAAATATAGAAATATAACTCAACTATCTTTTCTGTAGGCGAATGTTCCCTCCGTTTAAAGTCAGATGCTCGGGGTTGGACAAAAAGGCCAAATATATTCTGTTGATGGATATTGTTGCGGCTGACGACTGCAGGTATAAGTTTCATAACTCTCGCTGGATGGTGGCAGGAAAAGCTGACCCCGAAATGCCAAAACGCATGTACATTCACCCCGACAGTCCGGCCACTGGAGAGCAATGGATGTCTAAAGTCGTCAATTTCCACAAACTTAAACTGACGAATAACATCTCCGACAAGCATGGATTTGTAAGTTAGCTACGTCTTTTTCATTTTTTATAATTATGATTATTATTGTTGTTCAGATACGTGTGTCCAGTGCTATTTGTATGCATGTTAATATATTGTTAAAGACTTTGCACTGTCAAGGAAATTTCATGAAATACTATCCGAGCAGGGGAAAACACGTTGATAAAGGGGGGGGGGAAATCGCATGCTTCAACGTGTGCAAAACCTATTCAGAAAGTGCGCCTCATAAAAACGATTCCTTCCTTTACCCGTCGTGAAAATGTTATTTGGAAGTCAACTTCGGCTTTATTTATATTCCAGACGATACTAAACTCCATGCACAAATACCAGCCGAGATTTCACATTGTGAGAGCCAACGATATCCTGAAGCTCCCGTACAGCACGTTCAGAACATACGTGTTCCCCGAGACGGACTTCATCGCTGTCACTGCCTACCAGAACGACAAGGTGGGTCATACGAGCTTTCTGGGTCGAATCTGACTCTAAATGTCTACCTACAAAAAGTGCATTACAGAAGGTGTTGTCAGTACTTTTGTTATAAACGTCCTTGTAGTTATTATATGCAGTCCATTTGTTCTCTGTGATTATTATATTTATCACTGTGAGGCCTACATCATATTGCAAGGCCTTCACCCATGGACAATAATGCAGAAAACATACACACACATACACACTTTCTCAATCTTTCACTTTCTCCTCTTTCACACACACCTTATCTTCAATTTATCTTCCATTTAATTATAGTTATTCAAAGGTTTGTTCATGGAAACATGCTGCCAACTCTCTCTCTCTCTCTCTCTCTCTCTCTCTCTCTCTCTCTCTCTCTCTCTCTCTCTCTCTCTCTCTCTCTCTCTGTGTGTGTGTGTGTGTGTGTGTGTGTGTGTGTGTGTGTGTGTGTGTGTGTGTGTGTGTGTGTGTGTGTGTGTGTGTGTGTGTGTGTGTGTGTGTGTGTGTGTGTGTGTGTGTGTGTGTGTGTGATAGTTGTGTGTAATAGTGTGTAATAGTTGGCCAATGATGCTTTTGGGAAATGCACCTCTGAATGAGTTTCTATTTATTTTATTTAAAAATGCAGAAAGTTAGTGTAAGGGGAGAGAATATACAGTGTGTGTGTGTGTGTGTGTGTGTGTGTGTGTGTGTGTGTGTGTGTGTGTGTGTGTGTGTGTGTGTGTGTGTGTGTGTGTGTGTGTGTGTGTGTGTGTGTGTGTGTGTGTGTGTGTGTGTGTGTGTGTGTGTGTGTGTGTGGCCTGGTAAACCCTACGTTATGGGGACAAAATGTCCCCACAAGGATGGCAATATCCGAAATCCTTGTTCGTGTGGGGACATTTTTTGGTCCCCATGAGGAAATCAGCTTATAAATCATACTAAGTGATGTTGTTTGAAAATGTAAAATGCAGAATGTTTCCTGTGATGGGTAGGTTTAGGGATAGGGTTAGTGTAAGGGAATAGAATATACAGTCTGTACAGTATAAAAATCATTATGTCTATGGAAAGTCCCCATAACACATGAAAACACAACATGTGTGTATGTGTGTGTGTGTGAGTGTGTGTGTGTGTGTGTGTGTGTGTGTGTGAGTGTGTTTGTGTGTGTGTGTGTGTGTGAGTGTGTGTGTGTGTGTGTGTGTGTGTGTGTGTGTGTGTGTGTGTGTGTGTGTGTGTGTGTGTGTGTGTGTGTGTGTGTGTGTGTGTGTGTGTGTGTGTGTGTGATAGTTGTGTGTAATAGTGTGTAATAGTTGGCCAATGATGCTTTTGGGAAATGCACCTCTGAATGAGTTTCTATTTATTTTATTTAAAAATGCAGAAAGTTAGTGTAAGGGGAGAGAATATACAGTGTGTGTGTGTGTGTGTGTGTGTGTGTGTGTGTGTGTGTGTGTGTGTGTGTGTGTGTGTGTGTGTGTGTGTGTGTGTGTGTGTGTGTGTGTGTGTGTGTGTGTGTGTGTGTGTGTGTGTGTGTGTGTGTGTGTGTGTGTGTGTGGAAGGACTGGCCATAGTGGGAGGTGCTGAAGAAGAGAAAAACATTGTGTGTTTATTTGTTAGAAAACGGCTGAAATATTAACACTCCAGGAAACTGCAGGAAATGTTACAACACGAAATGCTTATGGGGTGACAAGGAGGAGGGATTGAATTCATGTTGTGGGGTTGTAGTCATAAAAAAGGTTTCCAATATTTATGAGCTTGAAATGGCTCCATTTTTTCCCCTTAAAATCCCAGTGATGCCTCAGTGAAAATAACTTAAAAGGTTTAAGACAAGTCACTGCATGCATAATATTTTGTATCTTAAAAGAAAACACGCTTATAGGCCAGCATAAACTATAAAATATCAAAGGTGATAGCAATGAGTCATAGAGACTTAAAGTATCTGTTGAATATGTTTCGATATGCTATAAATACGTGCAAAAAAAAAAAAGAGTTTTCAGGTTGATGAAACTGAAACACATGCAAGTTATCTTTATTCAAGCTATACCGATTACCTGTCATTGCATTTCAGATCACACAACTGAAAATTGATCACAATCCTTTTGCAAAAGGGTTTCGTGACACTGGAAATGGGAGACGCGAAAAAAGGTAAGAGAGCACGAGCTGCTTATTACAGCATTCCAGAACATTCTGAAATCCACAACACTGTTACTTATTATTTGCATTTTGCATGAAAGCATTTTATTCTTAAAAAAAAGAAAGAAAGAAAGAAAGAAAGAAAGAAAGAAAGAAAGAAAGAAAGAAAGAAAGAAAGAAAGAAAGAAAGAAAGAAAGAAAGAAAGAAAGAAAGAAGGAAAGAAAGAAAGAAAGAATGAAATGGTAGCTAATTAAAAACTCACGCACATGATTTTCTCCAATGCAGTTATTAGTTTGTTTGCACTGACATTTTTCCCTCAATATTGTGTCTTCGAAAACGCGTTGATACAGAAAACAGCTGGCTCTGCAGTCGATGCGTTCCTACGAGGAGCAGCAGAAGAAGGAGAACGGCACGTCCGACGATTCCTCCGGAGAACAAGCGTCCTTCAAATGCTTTCGCCAGGACTCTTCTCCTGCGGTCTCCACTGTTGGACAGAACAACTTAAAAGGTATAATAACCTCTAACTCTATCTCACGACCAATTCGTACGAGTGATTAAAAGGTGGCTAATTCGTAAGACCTCACTCGTACGAATTTGTACGATTTGTCTAAAACCACGTAATGTAAATCAACATTTTCTCCTTTGGAATGTCCTAATAAAATGTGACTCAATGACAATCGAATCTTCCGATTATTCCGATACAAAGCGTTTGCGTTTGTCCGAAAGTAGAATCTCCAAACGAATCACTAATGCATGCTTGTACCTAATTAATTAAAATATGTTGAATTTCCTACGTTTAAAATACACTAAATTATTACTTATTTAGCGTGCATTTTGTGTCGCCACTGACTGTCTGTATAACTGAGTTTCCCTTCCCGATTTTTCCTCTCGCAGACTTTTGTGACAGCGATGAAGACAGTGATGACGAAGACAAAGATGGGAACGTGAAAGACGTGCCAGACTCGAGTAAAATCTCCACCACGACTGAGGACTCGAAGGACCCCGATGCGAGTTTAAGCAAAGGTGTGTTTGGGGAAAGTGAGAGGACTGGGAAAGAGAGTCCCGTCACGCTGATCTCGAGCACCACTCGGTCCGGGGACGAGCTCAAGAGTCCGACAGCCCGAGAACAGGCCAAAGCCGACGAATCCCGGACAGCCAGCAAAGAAAACTACATGCCATTGACTGCCCAAACAGATGGCGCCGCGCACTTGAATCAAAACCACTTGCACAGTTTCGGATTTCCGCAGGGTTTGGCCGGGCAGCAGTTTTTCAATCACTTGGGCGGTTCAATGACCCATCCCTTCCTCTTACACCCGGGCCAGTTCAGCATGGGAGGCGCGTTCTCCAGCATGGCCGCGGGGATGGGCCCGCTACTGGCCGCGGTGTCCTCGGGAGGGGTCAGTGCGATGGACCCCGCGAGCATGTCTTCACCCACGGGCCCCCCGATGCCCTTCCACCTGCAGCAGCACGTGCTCGCCACTCAGGTAGGACATGCATGTTGAGCGCATGGAAATGCGTGTCTATAGCACGAATTGTATTTATCGTGCAATTTATACGCAGAAAAAATAGTTTTTACATGCATATGATACATGCATTTTACATGCATGCTTCAGTCCTGATCATAACCCTGGCAGGATGTTTATGAAATATGTTAGCGTTGTTTGTGTTTTTGCATATGATACGCACTGTAAACCCCTTGGCTAGGATTAGTGGTGTGAAGTGCGTGCATATTACACGCAATAAAGTGCTGCACGCGAAAACTGCATATCATATGCACGTAAAACTCTTTTTTTTTTTTGCGTAGGCCTATTGCACGATAAATACAATTCTTGCTAGATACGCACTTTTATGAGATCGGGCTGATGCTTCAGTGCTGATCATTACCCTGGCAGGATGTTTATGAAGTATTTTAGCGCTTTTTGTTGGTGCATTTAGGAGTTTTGGAGAAAAAAAACGAGGCGTGGCATATATTGCAGTGTTTAAGTGTCTTTGTTGCACAGTCCATAAATTGTCAGCAAATATAGAACAACTGACAACTGTTGCTCGAGATTAGCAGTAAAGATGTTCTTGACAGATGTGTGCAGACAGCAATTAATTCATAAAAAAGAGAAAGATGTTCACGCCTGTTTTCTACCTATATAGTCAACATTTGAAGTGGATCAAAACCTTTTATCAAAGTTATACATGAATTTTGAAAAATATTAGTTCTTGTCTTATAGAACAACTTTGATGAACTTTTTTGATCAACGTGAAATGCTGACTACTAGAAATATAAACCTTAAGAAACGTCGCGGTTTATATTTTTTCCAGCATATATATATATATATATATATATATATATATATATATATATATATACATTATATTTTAATGTTATTACTATTTGAAGGTTAATTATTTTCAGCATATATATATATAGCCTATATATATGCTGAAAATAATTAAACTTCAAGTAATAACATTAAAATGATTAAATTACTTCTATTCAAGTCATTAATACCACTGAATCAACTTAATACATTTTGTCAACAATTGAAACCAACAAAACTAGTTTGGTGGGTTAATCAGGAATAGATCTTTAACATAACAATTGCAGGTTAACACTTGTTACAGTATAATATCTTTCTCAACTAGTGTGTGTGTGTGTGTGTGTGTGTGTGTGTGTGTGTGTGTGTGTGTGTGTGTGTGTGTGTGTGAGAAAACGAGTGAATATAATATATTTCTATAGGTACAGGAAAAGGAAAAAGCTTGATTTAATAAAGATGGTAGGCTATATTCAGATTTTCTTTTAATCACAGAGTTGTTGAACTGTGAATTTTTAATTGCACATTTTTGACCTCTGAAAACGTCATGCTATCCAATTTTCGTCGCCATTGACGTATATAAATTCACATGTTGATTCTAAATACATAGTCAACATTTTTAAAGTGAATTTTGAACAATACCCGTTCTTGTCTTAACTCTGATTAGTCAGTTTGTATCAGACATATTGCACATAAAGCCACTTTTTAAAGATTTTTTTTTTTACCTCTGGTGTTGATGAAAACGTAATTTTAAATAGGCTATCCAACTTTCGTCATTGACGAATAAATTCACGTGTTGATCCTAAATAAGTCAGTTTGCATATTGCACTAAGCCAGAGGACAGCGTGTGTATTTTGTATTCTCTCTCTCTCTCTCTCTCTCTCTCTCTCTCTCTCTCTCTCTCTCTCTCTCTCTCTCTCTCTCTCTCTCTCTCTCTCTCTCAATTCAATTCAATTATTCAAATGTGCTTTATTGGCATGACAATTATTTAAATGTATTGCCAAAGCATTTCCAATCATCATACGTAAACATACATAAAATAAATAGATAAATGAATAAATAAAGAAAAAAAAAGAAAAAAAAGGTAAGTAGAAGAATTCATCACCATTTCAGAATTCTATGAATAATTTAGAATTCAGTGAGTGTTTGCGTGCGTGTGTGTGTGTGTGTGTGTGTGTGTGAGCGCATTGCTGATTCTCTCTCTCTCTCTCTCTCTCTCTCTCTCTCTCTCTCTCTCTCTCTCTCTCTCTCTCTCTCTCTCTCTCTCTCTCTCTCTCTCTCCAGGGTTTGGCTATGTCCCCGTTCGGAGGTCTGTTCCCGTACCCGTACACATATATGGCCGCCGCGGCCGCTGCTCAGTCCTCCTCCTCGGTTCACCGGCACCCGTTCCTGAACGCGGTTCGGCCCCGGTTACGGTACAGCCCGTACTCTCTCGCGGGCGTCCCCGACAGCACTCTCCTCACGACGGCCATCCCAGCCATGGCGAGCGGTACCGTGGACCCGAAGAACTCGAGCCTGGACTCCGAGGTCACCAGCCGCTCGCCCGGTTCACCGAAACCCTGCGGAGACCGGGACTCGAGCACCGAGTTACAGAGCATCCAGCGACTGGTCAGCGGACTCGAGTCCAAACCGGACCGCGCTCGCAGTGTCTCTCCGTAGACCCACCCGTTCCCGTTCCCGTTCACAACACGGACCTGCATCGGAGAATCACGCTTAGACTCTAAATGCACTTTGGTGAAAGTAAAACAAACACGTGACATGTTCTTTTGTTAAATTAAAACAGTAACTTTGGCTGAATCCGAAATCACACCCCAAACCCTCATCACTATTCCCCACTAATACTGTTCACTTGAAGGAGTGAATGAAACGAGTGAGTGAACTCGGACATAAGCTCGTTATTGCAGTGCACTGTGGGATTGAATACGTGCACTCAATAGTCAAGTCAAGTCACCTTCATTTAGCCTATATAGCGCTTTCAACAATATAGATGGTTTCAAAGCAGCAATAGTCCACTATGGTTTCGGACACCACATCTGTCATGGGGCGATTTCGGATTCAGCCTTTGGGGTTTTTCTCCCCCTCCCAAATATTGTAATACCAGAAGTATTGACCAGCGACCAGTTCGGCACGAGACTGAATAAACGAGTAACGCTGCTGCTCCTCTGTGTGTGTGTACGTCAGGTTGACTGTGATTTAATTTAATATGCACTCTGATAGGTTATTGCTTTATTTGAATATGATATTAATTTATCGGATGTGTTTGAAAACATACTCATAATTTAAATTTACCGGAGGCATATTGCATGTCAAAGACCAGAACTAATCAAGACTGCTGTTTGTTTAACTTCACTGTTTTGTTCTAAGCGCTAATTCTCTGAAATCTACATAATTGTTTTAAGAACACTAGTGTGACGGAGATTCCGCAGTAAACCCTTAATATCTTTACCTAGTATATATATATATATATATATATACATAATTGTTTTATTTATTTTGTTTTCGTAAATTGAGGAAGGCAGTCTAGTCAAACATTTATGTTGTTTTAATCTGTCCAAATGTGTCAATCTTTCCACCGATCACTTATTAATTAACAGACGCGGTACTAAAACTGCTTATTAAATCCAGCTTCGAGATAAACTGGGAAAAGGGATCATGTGGATCAAAAAAGGATCATATGATTATAATAAATACAAATGTAAATAACGATATATATAACATATTTATGTAATTATTTCATATGAATATTGCTTGTAAATATAACTGAGGATCTTTGTTTGTTTGTTTGTTTGTTTGTTTGTTTGAGGGAGCTTAATTTAATTTATTGTTGACATATGTGTAAAATAGTTTGTGAGCATTTTCCATGTCGATGATTTCACCCGTCACACCACAGCGGAACCATGATGTGCCATCTCCAGAGTAACTGTTGTGTGTTTGAGTGCTTCGGTCCAGACAAATTAAAGGCGATAACACGATGCATCAATGGCTTGAAAGCAATGACACTTTTCTTTCACATCAACTGAGAATGCTTTAGTCAAAGTGTGTGTTTGAATTGACTTTTTGTGACCTATGAGCCTAAACTGCCAAAAAAGTGCAGAAAAGCGAAAGGAAATAAAGGTTTTCCATTGTGTTCGGCCTCTGACGTGCTTCATTTGACAAAACCTTCAACACGATAATTAAACTTTAAATATTTCTATAACATTTTGAAAAGCACGATTATTGCGTGTTTAAACCAAATAAAACTGATCGCTTCTGTTATTGATTCATTAATTCCCATAGT